GTAATTAAATAAATTTTATAAAAATATAAAATTTAACGTGTCACAGGCATATTCTGTCGTGCTAGTTTTTGAAATGCATCCAAATGGTCGCACAATGTCCGTGTTGTTTCGTGTGTTGTGTCGTGTGTCAGCTTAGCTGTTTGGGTTCTAAAAAAATATTAAAAGAATTAGACAAGACACATTTGAACGAGTGGTTCAACCAGTTTAAAATCAATGGCAGGCTATGGCATATAACTATGAATTTACTTTCATGCTGTTAATGTTAGCATGAATTGAGCCAAGCTTCAATTGAACCCACCCATCAGTTTAGATTCTGTCAGTTAACTACACATATTTTGGAAAACGATTGGTTACATCTGAGAAGCATGGACCGACACGTGATCCACGGAAAGACACGACGTACGATGGACCGTACAGTATTTTAAGAAATACAAGGAACAATACGTGGGGACATGCATGAAATATAGTAGATTTTAAGTATATTTATATTATGATAATATAAATCATATCATTCAAGATATAATATAAAATGGGCAATGTGACATTAATTTTATAAATTTTATATGGGTTTTTGTTTAGTGATATTATATCTTAAATTGTTGTAATTCAACTTATAGATAGTTCCACATGTGTCTAATCGATTGACATGGTGTTTAAATGATTGACACGTAGCGCTCCAAGGTTCCAAGAGATGTGTTTCGGACTTCTAGAAAAAAATTTAAAAATTAGAGACGTTTTTGAAGAGTGTCAGAGTCACGTGTCCTAAGTAGTGTCCAAAGAGTGCTCGGTGTGCCGCACACGGACAGCACGACACGGATTCGTCACCTTCTTAGAAGTGTCCATGCTTCCTGTAGGGTTACATAATTACTCTCAATTAGAAGACTGCTCAAAAATCCTCTTTCTCTGTCTTGGTTTCTCCGGCTTCACTTCCTGCTTCATATATCCGTGTACATGACTAACATACGTGGGTGTCTCATGGGACAGTCCCCAAACTGAAGACCAGAAGTTAATGTTCGTAGACAAAAACTTCTCCAAGGCCATACCACCAGATTCTGGGCAGACAGAAAAAAGGAAGAAAGAGAATTCCTTGCTGAGTCCAAAAAAAAAAAAAATGTGATTGAAGAAACTAAAAAGAAAATATATATATATAGTATATATGTATAAATTTTATTCAGATAGACCTTAAGGCGACACAACTTGTTTCTTATAGCAAAGGGTTAGGCCTGGCATGAAACAGACATGTGTACATCTGTGATATCATGTTTTGGAGGGAATCAAACCTGTGACCACAGTTAGTTTAACCGGACTGAGATTACTATGTTAAAAGATTGGTGTCCATTGCCATGCGAATACTTTCTGCGGGAATGAGTAGGCCCCGAACAGTGCTAGCATACAGAAATAAAACACAGAAAATGCACAAGTGGCATTGTGTGGCTGGGCATTCATGTCTAAGTGCTCACCTACATGCCAAAATGATTTTAAACGCACAATACACATTATGTGTACTTGTTTTGTGTCCTATTTCTATGCACTTCGCATTATTGCTTAGCCCGCCGCCCTCCCCCCATAAACGCACCTCTCCTGGAGCAGAGAAAGTAACTGGTTGTAACTGGTATGGTGCCCCCGGAAGAACGGCAAGCTGTGGCATACGTCGGACCCAATCTTCTCCCAGAACTTGACCCTTGCCTTGGATGACAGAACAAAAAGAGTATGATTAAATTCCTGTATTTTCTTTCCATTTTTTTGAAATGTTGATTTTTAAACGTTCTAATCTGACAAACAATTAATCTCACGCAAAATATGATTTCAGTTTTTGTGAGTTCTCTCCTTAGGCTGAAACCATTCTGTTTGAAATATCTTCTCTATTGTTAGATCTGACCGGGAGGTTGGAGAGGTTGTTGGGCAATTTTGTATTGCAGGTCCTGTGAGTGGAAATCTATATTAAATATATGAATAGTGTATTTCAAAGACCATTGGTTCAATAGTAAAACCTTGACCCAATAACCTTGAGGTAATGGTTCAAGTCTCGGGGCAACCACTTTATGCACTATGCCAAAGGTTAGGCGTGTACCAATCTTTTTCCTCCCAAACACACATTATTGTGTACTAATTGGGCATTGTTTTTGTTAAAATTTACCATCACCTACCACACACTTACCATCACCTACCACACACTCACCTACTACACTCACCTACTCCTCACCTACCACCACCTACTCCACTACACCTACATCTATATAAGGAACCATTTGTAATAGACAGTATTATTAAATACAACAATCAATAATACAATCATTTCTCTTTATACATTAAATTTCTACATGGTATCAGAGCCGGTTTAGAACTTACTATTTTCGCTTCCCCGGCGGGCGGCAACCTCACCTTAGCCGCCCGCCGGACCTCAACCTAGTCCGCTAAAAATCTCTACACATACCTTCACTCTTTTTCACCACCACGCCGAAGCAAACCCAAAATCCCTCTGGGACATTTCGTCGAACACCATTCAGGCGGGACACCCAGCATAGCCAGACAGACAGGCCAACCTCTTCTCTCCTCTCTCGGGCTGGTTCTCTCCTTCCATACCACCACCCTCCACTACACCTCACCACCCCTTTCTGTTGCATGGAAGATGCATGCACAAGGATGCTCATACTGGACCATTCAAAACAAATACAGAAGCAACATTGCAATGGCCGGGACAGGCATCTACCAGCTTTCAGGTCAAACTCAGGATTTCCTCGGATCACTAAGAAGCGTCAGCCATGAAATCAAAGGAGACTGTCATGGCCGATCCTATTCCAAGCCTCGTCATCGGTGTCGACCTCGTCCCCATTCGCCCCGTTCGCGGCGCCATCGGTGTCGAAGAGGACATCACTAAGCCACAGTGCCGAGCCACCATCAAGTGGCTCATGGCTGAGAATGGCTGTCGAGCCTTCGATTTGGTGTTGCATGATGGCTCGCCAAATGTTGATGGTGCTTGGGCTCAAGAGGCGACTAGCAAGCATGCTTTGGTTATTGATTCTGTGAAGCTCGCTACTGAGTTCTTGGCTGCAACAGGAACATTTGTTACCAAAGTTTTCAGATCTCAGGATTACAGTGCTGAGTTCTTGGCTGCAACAGGAACATTTGTTACCAAAGTTTTCAGATCTCAGGATTACAGTGCTGTCCTCTACTGCCTTAGACAGCTTTTTTGAAAAGGTTGAAGTGGATAAACCAGCTTTTCCATTCTAAAATATTCTCCATCCAACACCATCATCACATACCACCGCCCAAACATTCTTTATCTTATATATATATATATATATATTTTTTTATTATAATATATTTCCCCTATCCCTACCATTGTTAGTGATCATCACCCGTTTTCTATTATTTTATTATTATTATTTTTTTATATATTTCACCAAAAAAAAAAAATAAAAAATAAAAAAAATAAAAATAAAAATCACACCGATGTTTTTCATATCACCCATCCACAAATATTTTTATCTATTTTCTTTATCCATTGTTTTATTTTTTATTTTATTTTTATTATTACACAAAACAACAACACAAAATAACCCCAACAACATTCTTTTTATTATTTTTTCTTTATTTTTCTTTCACATTATTTTTTAATCTTTTTCAAATTCCATTCATACCATATAGCTTTGCACACCAAACCATCTTTTATTCATCTCAGGGATCAACCCCGATCAAAAAAAAAAAAAAAAAAAACCACACACAATCAATCAAAACATAACACACAAAGATTTGTTTTCTTTTCTGCAGCCGGCCACCCATCGACCTCACTTCTTCGCCTATTCCGCCGGTCTTTTCTTCTTGCCTCCGTCCTGGGTGGTCCTTGCCGATGTTGCCTCCGTGCTTCCTAGACCACCAAGCACGTTTCCTCCTCCCTGCTCCTCCACTGCAGCATATGGCGGCCCTCCAAATCGGAACATCACGGTGGCCTTCCGCTTCAGCTCCTTGTTTTCTGCCCTTAGCACGCTTATCTCTGCTCGCGCATCCTTATACATGCGTTGGAGCAGAGCCAGCTGGGAGTTTAACTGTTGCACCTCATTTGTCCTGCTCTGTAGCCGGTGCGACAAGTTTGTGACCGCAGTCATGGTTTCCACACATGACTTCAGAGTATACTGATTGGCCTCAATATCAGTTTGCACCGCCATTTTTTGCTCCACCGACTGCATCGAAAAGTTCAACGGAGCAAACACAGAGGTGTTTGGTTGAGGTTCACTGGCCACCATACCAGTTCTCTCTCTTGTTGACTCATTGAGGTCTGGAAAGAGAGTGAGCAGACTCCGGGAAGAAGAGGCCATTTTCTGGGCTATAAAGTGTTACAAAGTTTCTCGTTCCGAAAACGCAGAGTTTTTTAGAGAAGGGTTGGATCCAGAGTATTTTCAGAGTGTTTCAGTCTGACAAAGTTCAGAGGTTTCAGCCTGGTTTGGTTTCCACAGCCTCCGCATTGGTTTATATTGGGAAACAGAGTGTTATAGAATATTATAGAGTTTCTCTCTTCGAACACAAATCTCTCAGCAAAGGAAGAGTTTTTCAGGGAATTTTCAGAAGTTTTTTGTCTGCCTCAGCCTCAGCATCAACCTTGGTTAAATAGCCGAGGCAGCCACGCGCATCGCGCGCCTCTTGACGCCAGACAAACGGGGACGCCAGCCAAGGCACTCACGTGCCTCGCCATCATATCTGGCACGCCTTTTGATGCATCGGGCACGCCTTTTGATGGCACGCCTTTTGACAAATTGGGCACACCTTTTGAGGGCACGACTTTTGAGGGCTCGATATCTACATCCATGTATATTTTTTGGGCAGCCTCTATACACACTCATACAGTGTCTTCTACACCGGTCAGCTTTATCAATCCCTTTGTTTCAACCTAAAATAGGTTTATATCTTCACACCTATTTGAGTTTGAGGGGGGGTTATACACAGTTATACACAGTATCATGTATAAGTCGCTCATGGCGCACTGTGCACCACCACAACCTCTGCTACAACGGTCTGACATGACCCCATAAACTGTCTTCTACAACGGTTTGACACGACCAC